CTCAGCATCTCTTTGGTTGTTTTTTCTCGGTTTCATAGCAGAAAAAAATCCCCTTGAAAAACACCAACAGCAAAGAGGTGGGGGAGGGTGAGTAAGGGACCAGTTGCAACAGGCACAGCAGTGGGGGGCAGGGGACTGGTGGGGAGAGATTCTCGGGGCTGGAGTCCAGCTACTCCTCCAGCAGTCCCTTCCCGTTGGGAGAAGCAACTAGAGGAAGGGCTGTCCCTGTGAGGGGCAGCAGGAGGGGGATGAGAAGAGTACTTTGCCAAAAATAGTTTGGGTCTTAGAATTTATTTAACTTAATCTGCTGTTTATAGGAGGAATACGATAATCAGGAATATCTTCAGTGGACCTTGGGCAAGTCATTTCTTGTCCAATTTGCCCATGAAGAAAATGGATCATCCAAACCTACTATCTTTGACTCCCAAGCTAATCAGTACCAAAGTGGTACGCCTGCCACCCCTGCCCCAACCTGCACTGCCATGGGAACCAAGTGAAACCCTTCCCCACTGCCCAGATGGGGGCGCTACAGAACCCCCAGGGCCAGAGACCCTGGAGAGAGTCCAGCCTTCTCCCCAGGTGTCACAGACCTTAGTGTACAGCAACAACCCAGGAGGTTGGGAGGCCTGATCCTGCCCTCATAGCAGGTGGGAGCCCAGGTCAGCACAGGTGACCCCATATGACACTGACGGAGAAAGATGGGGCTTCAGTCCACATCCTGAAGAACACATGTCTACGTACTTCATTTGGAAAAGTGTTACGTGGAGATAGAGCCTCAGCCAGGATATAAGATTCGGGAAAACCAGACAGGTACCCACCGCACCCAGAACTGGGGACTCACAGAGCAGGACAGTTGCTGCCCCCAGGGAACTCAATGCAGGGAAGCTTCTGAGACCAGCAATATGACTTGATAAGTGTAGTCACAAAAGGGATGCTCCCTCTGTGGTGAGTGGGCTGCGTGACGTAAATGAGGATCATGGTCTTAAGTCCCTTATGGATCAGTTCACTTTGCACAAAGGAAAAAAAATGCCCTAGCCACAGAAAGATGTCTAACTATAGCCACAGGCTGTCTTAAGGTGTAGAAGAAGCCCAAATGACAGTCACAAAGAGACCCCTAAGTCCGAGCACACCACACACTGATCCTGAATGCCGACCACAGGAGGGTCCCAACCCCAATGTGAGTCCCCAGGGTGACTTTGCATCTTCCTCTGAGTTCCCAGTATTGACCTTGGCCTTGGGACTTTGGACAGTAAAGTCACAGGCTGGGAAATTCCTGAGTTCAAAGAGGAGAGGGCCAAAGCATTTGGAGATGGGGCTGCCTTCTGACTACAGGTCACTAAGATTTCTCTGCAGGTTGCTGCTCTGCTCTGAGACTGCCTGGGGTCTCACGCAGGCCAGCCTTACCCCCTGACAGCTGGCTGGGCCTGGTGCTGGCCAGAGCAGAATGGGACCAGGCAGATGTTCATAAATAATTTCTGAATGAATCAATATGTTAACTAATAATTCCTTACCTATGCTCCAAATTCCTGATCAGCCCCCCTTCTCTCTATCTCCAAATACTCTCCCAGCTTCCTCCTTTCAGCTTTTCCACATACTCAGGTCTTCCATCGTCTCACAAGCATTGTCTACATCCTCTGACTCTCACACTGTCTCTACTCACTCCTCACATGCCCAATCCACTGTTCACCTCCATCCCTCCCCATAACTGTTCTAGGTTATAACAGCAGCAGCAACCAGGCCACTAAGCCCAGAGGCCACCCAGAGGTCTCTCTGCAACAGCTAACACAGCTGTCCGACCCTCCTTTGTGAAACATCCCTCCCACCATGTCCCTAGCCTCCTCCACACCAACCTTTACAAAAGGGAGGCCCTCAAGGTGCTACCCTAGGAATCCTCTTCTTACCCCACCCTCTCCCTGGAGAGTTCACTGCCCCTACCCACCCCTCCACCCCAAGCTTCAACTCCCATCTTTATGAAAATGACTCCAGATTTTTACCTCCAGCCCAGACCTTCCTTCTAAGCCTGGCCCCAAATACCCAGCTGTTCACTGACATCCCCATTGGTGTCTCAAGCATGTCCAACTCGGCACTTAGCATTTAAGCTCTCGTCCTCCCTCCCGGGTCACTTCACCTCAGAGAATGACTAACATTTATCCAATTGCTCCAAACCTGGGGCCACTCTTACCTCCAACCTCCCCCCAAATCCTCCTATCTCCAATATAACTCCTAGGAAACCTGAAATCTGACCACTTCCAAATAACCTCACAGGACCCTCAGAGCCAGGCCACCATTCTCTCACCAGACACCTCTGAAGGCCTCCCAAGTCATCTCTCACTTTTTACTCTGCTCCTTCCTACACACTCTTCACACAACAGCCAAGGCGATTTTTCACAAATCCCACCATCTTACTGCTCTGACTAAACTCTTCAATGATTTCAATGACCTTAGTTAGGATAAAGCCCAAAATCTTCAGCAAAAGTTCCAAGGGTCTGACTCTTTGTCCCTAACTGTGGATGCTCTGGCCGGTCTGGTCTTCGGGTCTCTCTCCTTCCTCAAGGCATTTCAGAGCCAAAGCAGTGCTGCTCAGAGCTGTAAAGCACATATGAATGGGAACATGAGTAACATGCAGATTCTGATTCAGTTGTCTGGAGTGAAGCCTGAGATTCTGCATTTCTAAGGATCTCTCAAGTGATGAAGGTGCTACTAGTCTCTTGGCCTCACTCTGAGTTGTAAGCATCTAGAACACTCTCCTCCACCCTGCCTGTACCTCTGCCTAACTAATTCCTACTCAACTCTCAGGGTTCCACTTAAACATCATTTCCTCAAAGAAGCCCTACCTGGCCCACTCCAGGATTAGGTAACGGACCTCATATTGTCCCCCAGCTACGTTGTGCTTCTTCTTTGGAACATTCATCACACTTAACTGTCCATCCCTCATTCTTGAAATTATGTTTTCAACTTTCATCTCCCCAGCTAGACTACAAGCTCCACAGGGGCCACAATGTCTTGTTCACTACTAGGTCCCCAGCGTCCAGCACTGGGCCTGGCATGTGGTCAGCGCTCGTAGTAAAAGCTGTTGGCCTTGACTGCCCTGCATCTATTTCCTCTTCTTCTTATAATAACACCTCGGTTTTCCTTTGAGGAGCCACCCCTCCTCCATTCTTGGTTTTTAGGGTTTAGGAGATGGTCATGAGACCCAACTCTGGCCAACTGAAGCCTTCCATCTCTCTGGATGCAATGATGGTTCAGCGATAGACACGTAACCTAAGCCAGGCCAGTGAGCTTCCTCCTTGGGACTGTCATTAGAACTACTAGGGAAGAGACTCTTCTTTCCACTGGAGTTACTTAGCGAGTAGGAACAGCTGTCACCATCCTGTCACCATCCTTTCACCAGAGATGGAGCTTAACAAAGAATGAAACCAACACAGCAGACAGACAGAAAGAGACAGATTTCATGGATGCAGCCATGCCTGGCGTCTATACTTGCCATTACAAAGGCAATAAATTCTCTTTTAAGCTTAAGCCAAAGTTCTAGTGCTGCCACTTGAAACCATGAGTCTTCACTAATACAACATTCAAATAAATATTGGGTGCCGAATGAATTAAATGAGTGTGTGAGGAATTAAAGCCTGCCAAGAGAACACAGACTCCTCTCGGAAACTTGCAGAGCTCTCCCTGCAAATGCCTGCCATCCTTGAGCACAGAGACAAGCATCCCACACCCTACTTTGCAGGCCAAGGGGCTGAAAATCTGAATGGTAATATCCTTTCCAGCATTACCCTGTGTGAACAAACCACCCCCAGCACCTGACTCAGATGCCAGCACTGTGACTAGGCTGATGAAGGTGGTCAGGTTTTCAATGTTCCCAGGTATCCCACCAGGAAGAGAGCCCTACACCTCACCCGCTCCTGAACTCCTAATTTAACAAGGGCAGGTTCTGGATGTCATTCCGTGATACTCCCCCTCAGTGCATACCACACAGTTCTGTGCATGGTAGGCATTCAGTACAGGATGATAATGGGAAGACGGTTTTTATCTGCTTCCTTTGGGGTTTCACTTTACAACAGATTAGGTCAGAGAAGAGGGGTACAAGAGAGAGCAACAGGGAAGAACCCTAATTATTTTCCTGTGAGTCACCTCACAGCAGAGCTCCAGGGCAGAGATGGGGGCTGGCCTAGATGTCCTCTCACATGACTCAGGAGGCAGAGCTAGTCCTCACTGGCAAAATGGGAGGGATAGAGAAAGGGAGGGATGGAGGGGCACTGTGCCTTGGCAGGAATACTGGCTGAGCCAAAGTCCTCCCTGAGGACCAGCTCAAGTTTTTGTGGCCATCCTGCCAGCGGGGATGGAAAGGTAAGTGGGAAAAGGCATCATGGGGGAAGGGTGCTGCCCCCTTGGCTCCTTTCCAGGAATGAGAGGGGCCTGGGTCTGGGGTCCTGGAGTATGGTCTCCCAAGAAAGAGCCTTGTGAATAAAGTGCCAACAGGAAAAGAATTACTAGCTCCCCAGAGCCTCTAAGGCAACTCTCCCACAGGGACTGGGGTGACAGGGACAGCCCAACAAGGAGGTCGGAGGCAGGCAGACCAGTATGCAAGTGCCATTTAAGTCCCAGGAGGGTCCCAGCACACAGGGTCCCTATCCCAGCCCCTGGCAGCCCTTTTGGGCAATAGCCCCTTAAGGCACCAGCCTGTTTCCCCTACCTACTTCTACCTGGGCTCCTTGTCCCAGAACCCCACAGCTCCACAAGGCCTCTTGCTAATCACCAAGCATCCTGTCAACCCCATTCAGCCCCAGTCCATTTTCTCACCGCGACCTAACACCTCTGAGTCTCAAAGTCACACTTTCCTCCTGCACTGGTGAGCTCAAGTGAACCCTCACTGGGACACAGGCAGCTAGGCCTGGTGCCATAACAAAGCAAGGCCTTGAGCTTTCCCCCACCCACTTCCCCTCCCCGCTTTTTCCCACCCACTTCCCCTCCCCGCTTACCAACTCTAAGCCTCTTACCTTCATGGTGGGAGGCGCAGTGAGAGGAGGGGACAGCGATCGGTCTGGGAGGGTCACATCTGAGCTGTTGGCCAGCTCCTGCTTCCTGTAAGGAGACCACAGAACACAGAAGAGGAGAGTGAGAGGCTGCCTGCACCTTCCCCTCTCTCCTCGAAGAGTAGCTAGACTTGGGGACACACGACACAAAACTTGAGTGGAGTGCATTTCATTGCTGGGAGGTACTAAAATCTAAAGCAGGGTTGTGCCAAGCATGGTCCCTGCTCTAGCAGCATTAGCATCACCTGAGAACTTGTGAGAAATGCAAATTATCAGGTGCACACCAGACTCTCCAGTGATGGGGCCCAGGAATCTGCATTTTAACAATCTCTCCAGGTGATTCTGATGCATCCGAAAGTCTGAGAAACAGGGGGCTAAGAAGATACAGGACTGAGGCCTGGGTAGGAGAAGAAGGGAAGAGGGGTAACCGTTTTCAAGTCACCCACTCTGGGGCCCCTTTGTCCCTAAACACACACACACACACACGCACACACACACCCTGGAGAGCTGACCTTGGAAGGACAGGGCTGCCTGCTGTGGAAGCTGCAGGTAAAACTTATTTTAGTCCATGTGGGCTAGGACCATGGAGAGGCAGCTAAACAGAGTTGCGTCACCATGACAACATGATTACGACAAATTCGCTGCTCTCACACACTCCCCACTTTCCATCTGGCCCTTGCTGATGACCAGGGAATGCTGGTTTGCAGTCCCATCACCAGGCAGAATGTCTGCAATGGGATAAGACTTCAGAACAACAGTTACGCAACAGGGCCAGCTAGGCAGAACCTGGGGGAGTTCCCAGACAAGGGACTCTGGCGTCCTGGATATACCCTAGTTATATCCTGGGATGGGAGGGAAAGCAAGGATAACAATACTAAGAGCCTAAGAAGATTGGGCTGAGCTATCAAAGCCTCCAACTTTGCAACTGTGTCCTTCTCCAGAGACCCAGCCTGAAGCACATGAGTCAGCCCGACACCTGATCCCACTTAAGTGACCAAAGGACTCCGCTGCCACATCAAGAGAATGCTTCTGTACTTCTTTCCAGCTCACATTCTTCCCATGGGGGTAACAGCTCCAACCCCAACCTCCTTCATGAGAAAAGCCCACCTCTTGCAGAGCCCAGCCCTCGGCCTTTCCAGAGCAAGCCCTTGCCCTGAGGCCCAGACACCACCCCGTCATGACTCCCTTCAGCCAGGCAGGCCCAGTTTAAGAGAAATCAGGCCAGGTGCCATAGGGCCCTATCCACCCTGGCACAACCCCTGCCTGCCCTGCAGCCTGTCCTCTAGGAAGCCCAATAAGGAGGCTACATGAACATTTGGCTTGGTAGAGGATCCATATGACCCCATTAACTTCAACCCTGCCAACCCCCTTCTCTGCTACTCCAGCTGCTTTCCTCCTCCTTTCTTCTGGGAACTTGGTCTCACTCTGATGGCTGGAGAGGGGGTCCGCTCCCTCCTGATCTAGACCATAACTAGCACAAGAACCAGTAGAGCCAAAACTCAGCACATGAGCACGCGTGCACACACACTAACGAATGTGGCTTCTAGCTCCCAGCTAGAGCCTCACCTTCCATTGTAGGGTCCAGCCCCTATGCTCTGGTCCTCACTTTCTTGTGGACCCAACAGAGCTAGCTGGGTCCAGCACAGGCTCATCCCCTCCTGCCACTCTGCCCTCTCTCAAACAGCCACAGCTCCCCCTCAATGGGCCTGTGCCCCTGAGAGCCACGATGAGGGAAGTGGAAGGGAGGGAAGATGATCAAAGATGGGGAGCACCACCCTCAGGTTCCCCCAAGGTGAGGACAGACAAAGGCAGCTCTCCTTGGGGGCTGGGAGCCTGGTAAGGAAAAGCCTTCAGGGAGGAGAGGAAAGGAAGGTAAGCCCCCCAATCAGAGTCTATAGGACTGCTGGGGGTTAGCTGAGGACCTCTGGCCTACACCCAGTAGAGATGTCTTGACCAATAGCCACCCTGGCTCTCCAGGAATACAAACCCTAGAAGAGGGCAATGTCAGTGGTCAAGGGATGCTCATATGCATGGTCATACTGTCTGATTCTCTCCATAAGGCACAAGATGTCCACTCCTGTGGGACCGGAGCAAATGTGATTCTTATCCATGGTCTCTGCATCCTAGGCAAAGGGTCACCACCATACCCAACCCTCCTTGGGCTGAGCCCCTCTCCCCTGCACCAGCTTGTTTTCCCTGGACACTGGAATAAGCTCCCAAGACCAGTCTCCAGGGAGTGGTGAGGACTGTCAAGTGGGAGCACAGGACATCTACCAGAAGGATTTCCCAAATGATGCTTGGAGCCTGCAAGGTGCTGGATCAGGAATGAGCATCAGCTAGCTCCAGAGCTCTGTCCACGACTCCAGAGGAGACACCAGGGTGGGCAGAAGGCATGACTGCTACCCTCGAAAAGATCAGAACTCAGAGCACACACAGGCCCCTGTCCACAAATTAGAATCCATTCTGCCTTTGTATACAGATGGCTTGGAGTGGCACCTATGAAGGGGATGGGCCACACTGAACCATCCCTACTCTTGACTCCAACCCTCCCTCCAAAGGCACTTTATTAAGAGCTAACTGCCTACTGTGAGTTGAACTGTGTTTGTGGCCCCCCTAAAGATATGCTGAAGTCCTAACCCCCAGTACCTGTGACTATGACCTTATTTAGAAATAGGGTCTTTGCAGATATAATCAACTTAAAATGAGGTCATTAGGGTGGCCCCTTAATTCAATGTGACTGGTGTCCTTAGAAGAGGAGAAGGTAGGTGGCCATATGAAGACACAGACACAGGGAAAATGCCACGTGACAACAGAGGCAGAGATTGGAGTGATACAGCTAGAAAGCCAAACAATGCCAAGGATTGCCGGATACCACCAAAAGCTACAAGAGACAATAAAGGATTCTCGCCTGGAGCCTTCAGAAGGAACATGGCCCTGCTGACACCTTGATTTTACACTTCCAGCCTCCAGAACTGAGACAATAAATGTCTACTGTTTTAAGTCATCCCGTTTGTGATACTTGGTATGGCAGTCCTAGGAAATAAAAACACTTCCCAAGTCCCAGTTTCTAGTCTTGACTTTGTCATTGGAGTACCAAAAACAAGGAAGATAAAATCCCTGTTACAACCTCACCTTGTCCTGCCCCAGCCCTAACAAGCAATGACATTCACACGTGACCTACCCTCCCAAAGACAGCCAGATCTGGCCCCTGGCTGGTGCTAAGATAAGGCAGAGTAAGAACTACAGTGTTCAGTGTAATTCCAGCCCTTTCTCAAACAAACATATCACACGTGAGGAGGTGGGAGTGACACCATTCTATCCAGGGGTAACCTTGAATCTGCTCTAATTTATTATAAGCAAAAGGTAAATTATTAGCAGAGGTGGCACCCTTACTATTCTTTGTAACATCTTTCTAGTAACCCACAGTGATCTTAACATGTGTCATGGCAGTGAGATGGAAAATTTCCCCTCCAACCAAGCCAGTCAAACTCCCACACACAGCTCTAAGGACACAGGGTCCCAGACCCACACAGAGACCCACAAGAGGAGGAGTTGGTGATGGGAACAGAAGAGGAGAAAAGGAGGATTGAGAGAAGACAGAAGAGGGGAGGGGGAAGATCATTCTCTCAACTAAGAAGAGAGTAGTAAAAACAAGTGAATGGGCTCCTACGTCTGGGGGCCCTGGGGGCACCACCCACCCACTCAGTATCCCTCTGCCCCAGAGCCACATGGCACTGAGGTTTTCTACTCTGGGATTCTTTCTCCAGAGCGTGGGTGATCCCGGGACACCTGGGAGGGCTCGGAGAGGCCAGAAGAGGTCCTAGCTGGCTTTTGCCAAAAGTGAATCTCAGGAAGAAATGACCAAAGAGCCTGAAGCAGAAGCTGATAAACCAAGAGGATGCCCAGGGAGCACTGAGAAGTTTCCTCCACTCTTGACACTTCCGGCAGGATTCCTGAGGATCCAGAAACACCCAGCCCAGCCCTTTGTGTGGTCCCATTGATGTTCCTGCCATAGGCCTCGGCTCTGGGTGCCACCTGGCCTGTTGGGGCTTTTCCAGTTCAGTGCCTTTTAACTGATGGATTTTGGCCTTGATGGGAAAGGAAGTGTCTTTGATCTAAAAGCCTCCCTTTTCTCTCTTCTTCCTCTCTCTACCTGTCTATTCTCTCTCCCTTTTTGTCCTCTGACCCTGTTTTCTCCCCCGCCCCCTCTGTTCGTAGGGAACTGGACAGGCCCTGGGGGACAATCCCATTCACAGCACCCAGGCCTCCAGGATCCTCACCCCCAGCCTCAGTTGGCTTTGCCTCAGACCACCTGAGATCAATGCAGCTGTCATCTCTTGCACATTTTTATTAAAATGTCCTACACTAAGGATCGAGAAATTCTTGGGTTCAACTTTGGCTCTACCTGCTACCTCACTGTGTAACCCTGGTTATGTCACTTCACCTCTCTGTGTTCCAATTCCTTCATCTTCAAAGATGCAGGTGATAATGTTCCAAGGAACTAAACGTAATGACTGTGAAATAAAACATAAAGTCCTATACAAATACAGATCATTACTACTACTATAATCATCATCTTTATTATTATCATATCCCATAAAATGGTGATCTGATCTCCAGGTAAAGAGAGAAACAAGGGTCCAGGGTTGTTCAAATATCTTTGAAAACATTTCTGGCATCTCAAATAAATATCAGTTCTAGCCCCAGGGATCTACTCCCAGAATTATAACCATTGGTTAATAATCAACAGGAAAAATACCCACCTATCATCAGATGGCTCTGGGGCCAGGTTTAAGGGCTCCTTCTGGCAGAGAGTTCTCTAAAACCTACAAACTCCCCTTGTCTGCATCTCCCAGCTCACCAGCTCCCCAGCCACCCCACCATGCTCAGCTCTGCTTTCTCTTGCTTTCCAAATAGCCAAGCTAAAGAAATGCAGACAGCTGGCCACAGCAAAGAGCTTCTCAGGAAAACAAACCGAAAGGAATTAGACATATTATCCACAATAGCCAAAAGGTGGAAATAACCCAAGTGCCCATCAACTGATGAATG